ACCAACTCGCTGCTTGTCTGTATAGAAAAAAAAATCATACATAGAAAACAGAGAAAATAAGAACATGACATACTTGGTTACAGCAGCAGTTCATTAATTAGCAATTCTCAAACCAGCAGCAGTTACTAAATTGGCCAGGGGGAGGAGCAGCTGGTCCTCTCCTGCCACTCGACAGAAGATTAATCCCAGGCTCCTGAACATAAACCACTCTTCTAGCCTCTGGATGACATTATAAAAGTAGTTCTACATGGACGTTGAATATTCATCACACCTTGCTCTTCCCTGACAGCCACTGACATTTTCTCACATGTATCCTATTGCATTTCAATTGAAAAGGTTTGGGGGGGCTGGGGGGGGTGTCACTCTGAGAGACAGGGAATCAGGAAGAAAGCAACTCAAGCGGCATCAGGGTTTGTATTTAAACTAAGGCATTGCTGCAGAGTGCCCTGAGCGTGCCAGCTCTGATTCTCCATCACCCTGTGCCATGAAGAGGCATTTACATCCACACACAGTAAGGTATCAAGTCACAAAGCCAGATGTCTACACTGTTTGAACAGACAAAATGCTGCAAGGAAGACCAACAACTACTCTGCACTCAAATTCTTAGGAAGAGAAACTCAGTGAAAGGTTGAGTAGCCCTCATTCCAAACATTTAGCTGTGAAGTTTGCTACTTTTTTTTTCATAAACTAGAGCAAAGAGGTAAAATAATTATAATACAGAACACATATATAATATTAACAAGCCATAAATAAAGCTGTTTGAAAGGAAGACATTGATAAAGCTACCTAGTATAAGTTTAGAGCAATAAATTCAAAACATTTAGGGGTTATTTTAGCTGGTCTAGATATTGGCAGCCTTGAAATTTTGTCTAGCCTACAGACGTGACTGTTTTTTCAGGCTTTATTTAACCTTTTCCAACAGAAAGAGAGGAGCATTTAATATACATCACATATACCATCTCCTCACAAAATAGTGCTGCACATCTGAATGCACGAGAACCATCCACAGATTTCTGTGCCGGCTGAAGCTGCAAAAGGTCAAAAAAATGAGCGCACCAGGCTCCACATCAAGTCAACTCAGCTATCTCCATGACATCAAGTCAAAAGAAAGCTCACAAAAAATGAGCTGTTTTCTACCTGCAAGTCATTGTATCTGATTTGGCACCAGGAGGAAGGATTAATGAAATTTCCTAAAGAAGCAGCTTCTTTTGTGAATAACTCCAGTTCACTGTACGCTCACAAAGACAAGTTAAATTCTCTCTTCACTCCTGAATTTTAAGAAAACGATTGTCGGTTGGGTTAAAGTCCTGAGGAACTACACCTTCAGATAATTAACACAGGTGATTAGCACCCATTCCTATCCTCTAACAGCTGTAATTCAGGCATGAGCATAAAACCAACGCACATAATGACTGTGAAGCTTATTAGCCTACATTTCTGCCATCATTTTGGTTTTATAGCCCAAGCAAGTAACAAGACATTATTTTTTTGTCGCTGTGTGTTTTAAAAGATCCCCAGTGGCTTCAGATACTTGGAAGTGTAATGATCTGTAAATTCTTTATCTTGGCTTTTGATAAAAACATTATAAATCTGAGTTTAAGGTGTAACAAAATCAGAGGCAGAGAAATATCCCAGTTCACAAGGATAAATGTCAGGCTTACCGTCCATAGATCCCATGGCAATGTCTGAAAAAAGGAGTGGAAAAAGGAGGCTTTAGAAAAATGCTGTTTGTATGTTCTATGTACAACATGCAACATAACTGGTGAGTTAACTAACAAGAGATAACTTATTTATACTCATATTTAGAGTAAATATACATTTTCTATATTAGCACATGTGTGTAACCGTGTGTATGGGTACACAGCTGCATAACAGGCTTTTTGGTTAAACAGGATGGGCAGTAAGTGATGAATTGTGGTATTTCCACTTCCAAGCAGTTGTTGATTTCCAGCAAACTCATATCGCTGTATACTTGAGTAACAGCCAGATTCTGAACTGGTGACTGACTGACTCTCAACAGGTACAGGAGTCTCTGCAAGGTGTAAGTTTTAAAGAGTTCACATAGGTCAGATTTTTTAGCCAGTTCAAAAATGACCCAGTTATCCACTGAGAACAAGCGGGTTTTCTCATAACTCCGACACCAGGAAGGAAAATGGTGTGCTTTTGGGGAAAGTGAACAAGGAAGTTGACCAATATTTTCATCTTCTTGTCCAGTCTTTTAAGTAAGAAATGTTAGTGACCTCTCAGCAGAAGAGCTGAATGGAGGTGAAAGAAAAGCAGCAGACTTCATGTCAAATATTAACAGCCTATCACATGAGAAAGAACTGTGCTGGTTGGTCCCAAAAGCTGCCCAACATGCTTCAAAACATATCTACTACATTCACGCATAAGTTAAATTCCATGAACACCAAAAACTAAAGACATTGGTAAAGTAAAATGTAAAACTGTTCCTGAAATATTTGCAAATGTTAAACGTGACACCAAACATTTGCCTCGGAGAAAGGACTGCTGCGTTTAGCTTCTTTTCTTGCCCGCTTCTTATTTTATAAGGACAGAATGGCTCTCTGAACTACTTCTGCTTTCACAAGCAAACGACATAGTAATAACTCACTACTCAGATTTACAGCAAATTAACATCAACAGCCATTTCTCAATCAGTTTAATTTTGTTTAAGTCCAGGTACATGCTCCTGGGGATGGGATTCACAATTACATCCCTGCTTACTCCCACATAACGTCATTAGCTGACTGTTCAAGCTCTAAGGTCTGTTCTTACAGTGCTAACTGGTACAAACCCCAGACATCCTACTGACTTCCACGGAAAGAAAGATTGCTCATTTTTCACTTTTTCATTTTCTTTTTGTTGCTCATGAGGCTTTGAGCATGAGGGAGAAGGAACATACTGAGGGAAAGGTGAGACAGAACTCAGCTAGCAAACAGAGGTGAGGGTCAGGCACATCTAGAACAGCCACTTCTGAAGCAGAAACAGAAACAGAAAAGCAAGTGAAAAACAGGGGCTCACTTACTGTGATCCGCTCACCCTGGCAGAGCAGTGGAGGGAGGTTATTAACTGAATGATCAATAGGGAAGTCATGCCAGGCCTCCTGAGGCATCATGGCACAGATGACTGCTCCTGTCTTCATGTCACTACTTCAGCAGTTTGTTGAGGAGAAAATATCCATGACTGAGGCAAAAACTAATCACATATAGAAATACCACATAAGGCTGTTTTAATGTCCTCGTGAGGTAGCACAGGGCTCTCTAAATACTGTGACCACAGGTTTCATTCTATCTACGCTGCCATAGAAATGACCCTGCTGCATCCAGTGACACTGAGACCCAGACTGCAGGGTTATCTTATCTTCCCTCCTTCTAAAAACATGGTGCTCTGACTCATCCATATGTTCTTGTGGACATGGACCATCTTTTCTCATATGTGTGTATTGGGAGGAAAAGTGAAAGGAGAGGCTGAAGGTGCTCAGTGAATGCTTCCTATGCATCTAGATGGAAAAACACAATCTACTTCTCTACACTGAATATATATTCTGTATTTCATGGTACAGTTGTATCTAAAACAACTCTTTTCACTAAAGCACAAACGTGCTCTGTCACAGAAGTTAAATATCTTTGGTTTAATGATCCCGCTGCCCTAATCAGTGTTATTACACAACAAGCTGAAAGGGAAGAGTTAGCGAAGTCACAGCTAGAGTTTTCTGTCACTACTGAAGGCCAAGGAATTTCCTTCCCCTTCCCCTTCCCTGTTTAGAGGGAGCATGAAAAATAACAAGATGCACAAAGCCTCTGCTATAATTTAACACTTCCTAGCAAAACACGATGAGAAATCTCAGCTCAGGTTTGGACAGTTGACAATATACTGTTTTTCTGACAGTACATAAACCCATGCTGCAGATCTCATTATATAATTAGGACAGCACACCAAATAAGAGAGACCAGCAGAGAGCCAGGACTATCTCAGCCTTAAAGCTTCTTGTCTTCTCAGTCCTTTCCCAGTGCTGTGTTCCTGAACAGCTGATTAGTCCTCTCATGTCTCACAGTACAAGCCACGTTAGTGACAGACACAGGAATAATCAGTTTCATTAACAGTGTGTTAATATTATTTCCTTCTCTGTGTACAACACAGAGCTCCAGCTCTGCTGGCCAGGAGAACTTCCTTACTGTACTTTCAGCTCTATGGGTAGTGAGGTTCTGGATCTTAATATAGCAGGTTCCCTAGAGTGAGCCAATGAAAATCAGCAACTTGATATATCAGTCTCTTTTTTTTTTTTTTTTGCTTTTACTTCATTTTTTAATATTGCTGCAAGAAACCACCATGGCAAATATTACCACAGAATGCAGAATTTCTTTAACACAATATCCTGCAAGGAAACATTCTACTCCATCCTCTCATTTTCCTTGAGGTTAGGTCTAAAATAGATTTCTAAAAGTAAAACCACTCAGATCATATCCTCTGCTTGGTACAGAAACTCCATCACAGCAAAGCAATCACATGTTGACTCCATGAGACCTAGGTCCCTTGAGGCGTCTTTCCAGACATGAAGAGTCAAAGCCAAATCAGAAAAAATGTCAGAAAAACAGGTGCTGGAGAATTTTTATGTTGGCACTAAGTGTTATTCTAAAGATGGAAAACAATGACATGCTGAAGTCAAGGCCAAGGTACCAGCAACCATTTGCATTGGCAAACTTCTAATTTTACCACTTGACAATCACAGAATCACAGACTGATTTGGGTTGGAAGGGACCTTAAAGCTCATCCAGTTCCAACCCCCCTGCCATCAGCAGGGACACCTTCCACTAGATCACGTTGCTCAAAGCCTCATCCAACCTGGCCTTCAACACTTCCAGGGAGGAGCAGTCACAGCTTCTCTGGGCAACCTGGGCCAATGTCTCACCACCCTCACACCAAACAATTTCTTCCTAATATCTCATCTCCATCTCCCCTCTTCCAGTTTAAAGCCATTTCCCCTTGTTCTGTCACTCCCTGCCCTTGTCCAAAATCCCTCCCCAGCTTTCTTGTAGCCCCTTCAGGTACTGGCAGGCCACTAGAAGGTCAACCCAAAGCCTTCTCTTCTCCAGGCTGAACAGCCCCAACTCTTTAAGCCTGCCCTCACAGGAGAGGTGCTCCAGCCCTCTAATCATCCTGGTGGCCTCCTCTGGATTTGCTCCAGTAGGTCCATGTCCTTCTTATGTTGGATGCCCCAGAACTGGACCCACTACTCTGGGTGGGGTCTTACAAGAGCAATTTCCTCTCCTTCCAGTAGATCACCAAGTACAGGATTACTGAAGGGGAAAGACAAACAGCTGGCAAGAGCTGCTAGGGAAGATCAAGTTTTTCAGACACTACAGACACGCTGCTCATTAGTACACACGGCAAATCTTTGCTACCAGACACAGCACTTTGCATTCAGATGCTTTGCCTACATCAAGTCAAAGAGATACCTGAGACATGGGTGAATGAGTAACTCCTGTCGATACAACTTCTGGTTTGAAAGGGTCGAAGTCCAGATCTAGCAAAGATTCCTCTTTCTTAGCTTCAGGAACTTCATTCTGTTAGAAGAGAAACATAACTCTTGAAAAACTCACCTTTCAAAAGCTGCCCTGGGCAGCAAAATATTAAAGGCCAAGGGAAAAAAAAAAGGTCTATCACAGACTTTCCATCTGCAGTGCAAGTCAGGAGGGGAGGAAGCTCTGAAGACTTTCCTTAGCTTTAGTATGACTTTTAGTTTTATAAGCTTCACTCTTACAATGCATTTGTTTTCTCTGTAGTGCAGCTTTGCCTTTTCAGGCTAAAAAAAAATCACAGCCCTTTTGAAAAAGTGCTGAGTTTTCACCGTTTCATTGTGAAGATCCTTTTAAAGTGCTTTGAGTCAGACCTCAAAATTAAAAACTACAGAAATGGCACCCAAAGTCCATACGTTTTAATAAGTTAATCTCTCCCCAAACACAAACATTAGTATAAGGTAATAAAGATATAATTAGATGGAGATTTAGGAGAAACAGGAACCTCAGGAAATCCTTCAATAAGGGACAAAGTTGTGACAGGAAGGCACGCCGATCATCCTGTGTTAATTCCACCGTGGCATGAAGAAATGCCACATTTAAAAGAGGCGGCTGTGTCACAAGCAAGGCTGTACCCCTCAGAGGACACAGAATCACAGAACTGTAGTGGCTGGAAAAGACCTTTCAGATCATCGAGTCCAACCATAAACCAGTTCCACCTCTAAACCATGTCCCTAGGCATCTCATCTACCCATCTTTTAAATACCACCAGGGAAGGTGACTCCACCACCTCCCTGGGCACCATGTTCCAATGCTTGACCACCCTTTTGGTGAAGAAGTTTTTCCTCATATCTAATACCTATATATATGTACACATATATGCACAAGGGATGGAGAAGGCACAGAAACTTCTGATGACCGCCAGAGCTGCCACCCCCTCTCTGAGCACAGTCTGTACAAGCCTTAAAATAGCCCCAGCAGATAGGAGTTGTTCACTCCAGAGCTGTTGGATGCACTCAGACATGTTAAGTACCTGGAAGGGGAATATTATAAAGGCCTACAATGTTCAAGCTAGTAACTGGACACTAGGGAGCAATGTGATGTGAAGAAAACAAGAAATAAATCAAGGAACACTCATTTCTAAATGATCTTTTCATCTGGTTGCCTAGATATCACATCTTCTCACCTCTTTCTTTTACTTAGCAGTAATTAAATCCATTCTTGATAATTAATAAACTGGCAGTGTGAGCTGCTCTGTTGAATCAGGGCCAAAAATACTCAACAGCATCAAGCAGAACTGTCTTTCAGCATCTTGCACAGCACCGGATGCATTAGTACGGCTTGGTTAAGAAAGATGAACAGCAACAATTACAGGTTATTTGTGATCCAGAGGAGAAAAGTGTTTGGCCTGTTTGCAATCCTCACTGAAATGTGGCACTAAAGCAGCACAGCTCTATCCATCCGCCTGTTGGTTCTGTGCCTCTGTGTGAGGACAAGTGCCAGGGACACTAGTGGTGGTCCTTTGGGAAGCCCTGCACCATTACAGGGCTCTGCAGCCTGGATAGCTTCCTCCATACTGCCCAACAAAGGCTCTGGGAGTACAGCAGATGCTGTAAGCACCAAGAAGAATAAATCCTTGTTTCCTGTGGATTTCACACAATATATTTTCAATAACTGGTTCTCTTGCAGAAGGATATAAAACCTATAAAACACATTATTTGGGTATGCCTGTACGTACTCAGAGATCTCAGACATAGTAAGGATGCTTTAGCGATAGGGGAGGGTTTTGTGGAGGGAGAAGTGGAGATGATTCATGAGAAGGTGGCCAGGACTGTCTCCTATGAGAGGGACCTCATGCCAGAGCAGGGGAAGAATGTGAGGAGTCCTTCTGTGAGGAAGAAGGAGCGGCAGAAATAACGTGTGATGAACTGACTGCAACCCCTATTCCCCGTCCTCCTGCATCACTGTGGAGAGGAGGTAGAAAATCAGAAGTAAAGTTAAGCCCAGGATGAAGGGAGGGGTGGGGTGAAGGTGTTTTAAGATTTGGGTTTTATTTCTCATTTTCCTCCTCTGATTTGATTGGCAACAACTTAAATTAATTTCCCTAAGTCAAGTCTGTTTTGTCTGGGATGGGAGTTGGTGAGTGATGTCTCTCTGTCCTTAACTCGACCCATGAGCCTTTCACTATATTTTCTCTCTCCTGTCCAGTTGAGGAGAGGAGTGATAGAGAGGCTTTGGTGGGCACCTGGTGTCCAGCCAGGGTCAACCCACCACACCAGGCAATAGCTTAGATCATTCCCAGGTCATTGACTGCAGAGGAGAGAGGGACATAAACCACTCAATGAAGGGAGATCAATTTTTCCTTGAGAGACAAGGGAAAGGTTTCAGTTCTCAGGAGCATGTCCCACTTTTATTGTGACATTCCATTTTTATACCAATCTCTCATAGAAAGGCCTTAAAAGATTCTGGAAATGTGACTTACACTCATTTAAAGCCCAGTTCCAGTGCCAGCTCCTAATGGAAAAACAAATGAGTTCCATTTCTGCTTCCCTGGCTGGTGTGACAGGGGAAGGTGAGGTGAATACAGCATTTAAAGCAGGGGACCACTTCTAGCACAGGATCCATCCACTCTTACCACTGATGTCAAGGCTCACGCTGTCAGAGTGGGAACTCCCATGAAGTCAGGGTACAATGATGCAACAGACCTGCAATCTCCCTTCCATAGGAGGCCCCAGCAGCAGCTGCATACTGGGAGCTCCCATTAATTCTTTAATTGCATGGGGACTTAACTATAAATAAATCTTTTCTCTTCCAAATAGATCCCTATGGACAGCAATGCTTTATTTCTCCCCTCCACAAGAAAACAAACACATCACATGTTCAAATTCTCTACAATAATTTTGTCATTGCTTTGCCTACATTCTCCTGTGTTGTCAAATGAATTAGCACAAAAAACAATAATTTACATGAAAACCAAAAATTCATAAACATTCTCTGTAAGCTTCAGATCTGCATCCTTCTCCCCAGTCTACCAGACACAGGCTCAGATTTCAGAGCTGTAATTACCATAATAGAAAGGGTCTGTTATTGAAGAACCAGCAGTTACCATAACTGCATAAAAGCTGAATAACTGAATACAAATTATACAGACTTATTTTACACAACTCTGGCTTTTCTGTTTGTTATATGCAATGTTTAAAAATTTAATAATTTCACAATAATGAGATAAAAAGTAATTTTTATTACTTCTTTGCTGTGTAACTCACGTTTCCATGAATCAAAACAAAGTGAATGAATAATCTAGCTGGAGCAGCCTTTTATACCTGCAAAAAGTTGATTAAAGCAGTCAAGCTCAATTTATTTTTTTTTTAAATCACTCAAAAGAAAAAAGAAATACTTTTTAGAATTTTGATAGAAAAAACAAAAATAATGAAGGATCACTGTAAAGTGCCAGTTGAGATGCTTAGAATTAGGAAGGAAGCATCTTAGATGACCTGTCAGCTTGTAATGCAACCTGGATTCGGTGAAATCTCAAACATGGCTGTGTTTCACAGTATTTTTAGCCAAGCCTCTTGGGAAATCTCTCTTTTTTCAATATGTTAGCGATGTTAATCATTTTGAGTGATTACGTGTGGCCTATTCAAAGATAAAACACTGTGTGACCTTTTGAAGATAAGATAAAAGGGTAATTAATTATTTTCTTTGCCTTCAACCTGCACCCTCCTTCTTCCTGCCCCAAGGCCACTATCTGGGAGAACTTAGGGTGATTGCAAGGCTGGACCCATCCACCATCCTCTGAAGCTTACCTGTGATGGGGTTGTCACATTGATTTCTGGGACAAAGTTGTCATCAAAGAAGTTAATGATGTTCTCCTGTTGCAACTCCTTTGTGGGTGTGAGCTTAGGCAGCGGTGGGACTGGTGGCCCTTTCCTCAGCTAGGCAGACAGCAAAAATGTCACAAACTAGTTCAGGGATAAAAGAGCTTTAATCTAGGCCTAAACAACTTGTGTTAGGTTTTTATCTCTACTGCTTCACCTTAAATGTGGGAATAAGCCATGGGTTGAAAGGAACTGAACATTTGTTCATCACCAGATACCTTGAAATAAACATTGTGGGAAAAGCAAAACAACTCTATGTTTCAAATTCCAACTCGAGGTTTAAGATTTCACATGAAAGCATTTCTTGGCTGATTTTCTTGTGCTGTGATGGGCACATAATGCAAGACACTTTCTCTCCTATGCAACCTGTATTTGGAAGGGTGATACTGCACAGAACGAAGCCTCTGCAGGTTTTTTGCTTCTTAAGTTCATTCCTGTTTAGCTTTGGAATTTTGTCCCTGCCCACCTGCTGCTACCTTTAAAGCTTACTTAATGCTAAGAGCATATCACCTCTGGGAACCACAGCACCTCAGAGGTGCTTAGGTTACTAATTCCCCCAGCTCTCCAGAGATTCACGAAACTATGACAAACTAATTGCTTGAAATAATACCATATATTATCAGAAAATGTTAAAATCTGTCAAAATACCAAGAAAAAAAAAAATCCACAAAAAGTCCTCAGGTGGTATAGTGACAGAACACCACTGGCACCAGTTAAGACTAAACAGTTGTACCAGATGAATATTCAGGCAGTCAGCTGTCACATTTTGGGAGACCAAAGAAAACAAGTGTGTTCACATGTAATTAAATACAAAACTAAACAACTTCTGATGTCCTCCTCTCCATAGAAACAGCAATCAGCACAGAAGCTATCCCAATTCTGAACACACCAGTAACATCAACACAAGTTTGATATGGTCACTAAGTATCACATACAACCCTCATGCTACAGATGAAACTGATTCTCATTTCACCAATACTGGTCAGAATAGAAATTACTCCAGTGACTCCAACAGTGTCAAACTTCTCAATCCAGTGTTAATAACAACCAAAAAGCCTTTAATTATCACTAATTATCACAGCACTATTAAGACAGGTCTATTATTTACTGTTTTAGAGGGAAACCCAAGTTGGCCAGACCAGGGATATTCACTGGCTTTTTTTTTTTTTTCCCAGGATAAGCACAAATTTGAAGATGAATGAAGAGCAGAAATATATAATGTACTGAAATTCCAAAGGAGGTTTTAGAAATAGGCTTTGAAAACTATCACCACTGGAATATGGCTCTTTAGAAAGACTATGTAACTTTTTAAGAAGTGTTTTGCTTAGTCACCACAAGTCCCTCGCAGTTTAATGGGCACCTTAAATTCTCTTCATTTCCCCTTATATTAAAACCACTTTCCACCCAGGGATGAACAACCAATGAACAGAACAGACTGCAATGGAGCCAGTGGCCTCTCTCTCATTTCTCAGTCACTGCCTAGATGAAAAATCCACCATGTACATCATCTCAGCTCTCTTTTTTACTGCACAACAGGTCAGTTTCTCCTGTTGGGTTTCTGCTTACCTGTGTGGGTGACTTAGGCCGGGCTGGTGCTGGAGATGCTGGTGCCAGCATGTGATTGGGACTAGCAGAGGGGCTGGGCAGGGGAGAGACCTCCTCGGGTGGGGACGGCGTTTTTGCAATGCGGAGTGGACCTGAATCACTAAATGGAAACAAAAGCATGGGTGAGGATGTACGGTGCTGACTTACTGCCTTGATAATTTGATGCAATAATTTAACTGCCCTAATGCCAGTGACCACAAAAGGCAGCACACACTGGAGATGAACTGAGCCATTATATAATGACTAAAACTAAAACTGTAATTAAATTCAATTAAAATTCAGTGATCTATAGTGTCAAAGGAACTTTTAATTTTGAGTGATCCTGATTTTTGGAACATCTCTTCACCTGATCATTGTAACTTGAGAGAAACAGAGTACTTGTGTATTTTCAGATTCTGCATTTCAAATAATGTTTCACGTATAAATTTGTAACTCTCATAAAACATGAGATGGAATTATGGTCTTCATTTCACACAGAGGCTCTAAAGATAAAAAAACCCCAGGGAAGGCATAACAACTAATAATGCAAATAATTTTAAAAGCTCAGCAACTTCAGAAAGTTTTCAGCGAAATAAAACACAACCAAGTTTATTATGAAGGTATCACTATTTAGAGGGACAACTCACTACAGCTACAAACAAGCAGTAGTCAAGTGACTTCAGCAGAGCTCTGCTGATATGAAGAAAAGATCTGATGAAGTCCTGAGACCTTTCCATGAAAGGACCTAGTGCAAACACTGAGACATATTCAGCTACCTAGAAATGCTGAAAGCTTACAACTTGGGGAGGCTATGAACTACAGCACTCAACGACCACGCTACTCGGTAAGAGAAAAGCGAGTCCTACGAATCTTCAAGGAGAACAGAAGCGCTACTCAACTGAGGAGACCGCATCATAAATGTGTTCCTAATGCTAACACAAGAAAAATTCGTTCTTTGGAAAAGACAGACTTAGCTCACACTCACCACCTCTTTCTGTGGAAATATTAAAAAAAAAGAAAAAATAAGCAGTTATTACAAAATTTCTTTGCCAGGTACAATATTTGCCTTCAGGATAGAGTATTCAGTGGCATACAAGTTTTTAAGATGTTTCTTTTTATACAGTTCTTTAAAGGAAAGATTAGATACTGTACTTGTCTAGTATCGACTTCTTATGCATCTGAAAAGGAAAGCTGCTTTATCTTACAAAGACCCTCTCCTAAGTAGTCTTTTAGAGCATCACAACTAACAATGGAAGTCAAAATCTATCCAGATTTTCACAGAAGGCTCTGGGAACAGTACAGCAAAAGAGAGGAACATGGTAACTAAAAGAAAAAGTAATTTTTAAAAGCATTTTTAAAATAAGTTAAGATCACACTGCATTAACCTATGTCTACTCATTCGCAGCAATCATTATTTTTCTGTCATTGATGGAATGAATAATTCAGTGGGAACGAGCATGTGCATGCTGGACATGGTCTAGGAGATATATGGGGACAAAATATATGTTTATTACAAAACCTGCTTAAAGGTTTCCAATACTACATTCTTTTTCATCCCATAAAAGTATTTTACAAATCCTTTGTGGAAACACAGTCCAGCTCATGAGTCAACCCTAAAGGGGCTGGAAGTAGTGATGCATAAGCTAACAACTCTGGAGGCAGTGTGTAAGTATATATGAGCATGGAACTAATCCAAACCAAAAATTTTGGACACTTTATTATGAAAGTCATTTTGAATTTTGCATTAGGTCAGAAGGTTCAATATTTAATTCTTTATTCTTCCAAACTAAGATCAAAACAAATGTAGAAATACCAGCCATATGTTTGAGGCAGATGTTATGTTGCTTGGTCATCCTTAACTGTTGCTAATCTGGGTCCAGTTTGAGGGCAAATTAGCAGCAGTTGTAACATTGTTCTGATGGCTTCTGATGAGTTGGGATTTGCTGGAAATTCAGGATTTATGTATTCACTCTAAAAATCATTGTGTTTTGATAAATCTGTGTTCTATTATTTCAACCTCTTCTGCTTATCACTATTACAGTACTGAGAGATCAAATTATGGCAGAAAGGCTACATTTGGTGCAAGCAAAAAATCAGAAGTACTGCAATGGCATCCACTGACCCTAAAAAAGCAACATCTGATTTAAGACTTTTTTTGCTTTTGTTTTTATTTTAAGACAAGATTTCTCTGGAAAGTAATTTAAAATATGGTATTTTGTGACATTCTTTTTACTTCAGCTTTTATGATGCATTCTCAGATCACATTTCTTGACTTTTCCCCACAAGCAGAAGAGAGAAAAGCTGACTTTCAAAGTCTGGGATTCTCACCTAATCATATGCCTTTAGGAGCTAAAAACACAGTGAAATATTTAAAGACTTTGAAAAAAAAAATTATGAGAGTTAAAAACATTGCTGTGAACTAAGCATCTAAGAATAAATGAGCTATAGATACTTAGCTGGTGCAAACTGGTGTAACGTCTACAGTGAACTAGGCTAAATTGCAACAGCTGCAAATCTGGCTTTTATTCTTTTTTTCAAAGGAAAAATAAGTGGGTGATGAAGGAAGTTTGGCACCTTTACTCACATAGAGAACTTCATCCAAGGTACTTTTATCTACCATCCTGAATGAACAGACCCAGTGACTGTGTTGTGCAGCAATCGCTACACATGGTGTAGGCGATTACTCCATATGCTGAAACCCACAAAGCTTACTACAATGCAATTTGTTAAAAAAAGCAATAAATTCACCTTGGTGCCCCTTGAATGGTGAAAGCCTTGTCTGCGTGCTGATCTCCCAGCTTGGTCATCACTTCATACAGTTTGTGACATAGCTGAGGAAACAAAACACTTGCCTGAGTTTGTATGAAGCACTATAATGATGATTAAAAATGTGATAAATGTGAATTAATAATTGGTAATATATAATCTGTTGATTTTCAAATGGCATATAGATCCTTCCAAAAATACTCAGTGCTATGTATATCAAAAGCCTAAGTGGAAACCTATCAAAATCCACAGAATCAAAGATAACAGCAGTTCTTCAAAAACACAAGCTGATTTTCAAAGAACAAGTTTAAAAGTGTGACTGACTGCTGTCTGATCTCTGGTAAAGTAGGTCACCTCAAGTTTAGAGCAACATGAATAGCTAAGAAGATCCATGTTTTCCCCTCAAAAACCTAATCTTAATTTACATGGGACTTCAGTCACATGAATTTTCCAGACCATCTTTGTTCCTACTAGTAGGATATCTGTAGTAAAGATAATATACTACCACTTAGCAAGGTACATTCAAAAGATCCTCATGAAACTGCTCAATTTGCCAAACAGTCCCAGATAAAATGCTGCATTGCTAACAACGTAAAGAGCAGTCTTGAAGGGACTCCTTGACATGTTTTTCTTGTATTGATTAAAGCAATGAGATGCTTTGCAATTGGACATGGAAAAAAATACTGAAGGCAACAGCATGCTAAAAAGAATGAAGTTATCAAAAGAGAAAGTTATTTTAGTGCTACAACTGATAAAGCATCGTAATCCAAAATCGTACAGGCTGCCTTTTCCTTAAGGAGAATACAAAAATGACAACTAGAATCCAACGCAAAGGTTATACTATAAATCTGGATCTAAGGCAAATTCTGATGTGTGCCTCTGCTAGACTTCTACTGCCACATTACAAGACATTTGCTTGCTGTTATGCATATCACATCATCCATTACACATGAGAAACTAATTTTTACTCACTAAAGCTATTTCCTTGTGAAACTTGGCTTCGAGGCTGGATACATTTTTGAAGGTGTTCACATAGAAGCCAACTCGTCTATAGAGGATGTCATGAAGAAAGAAAAAAAGAGAACAAAAGATAGGGGTGAGAGGGCCACAAAGGAGAATTAATTATTTTTTCTTCCAGACCACAAGCAACATTCTTGACTGTTATTCTTAGCAAAGCAAATAATTGCATTGAATGTTAAAATTTCAGACTAGTTCATTTGTGATTATTTCTGTTTGTGTTAAGAACCACCATATTCTTCTCTGCACAGAGTGAACCAAGTTGAGACTACTCCACAGCAGGGGACTTCAGCTTGTTGTGGAGAAGGGGAAGATTGGAAAAGGATTGGTACAAGTGTGGTATAAGCACATGGAAGGCTCTGGGCACCCTGTCTCCCACCACAGAGCAGGCAACCATTGCCTGGAAGGAGAGAGGTACTACTTCAAGGTATACAGCTCAGTACAGACTCAGGGTGGGTGTCCCCATGCTCAGCCCTCCTTAAAGAAATCAGCCATGAAATAGATGCATAAGTATGTAAGAGAAAATAATTTTTAATATAGACCAGACATTTTTGCACATGCAGTCAAATATCTGCTTGCTTGGCGTGAGTGATTTCATACCTCTTGTGCACTTCAAAAGTAGAAGGTGTTTTCTTAGATTTTTATCTTTTTTTTTTTTCCCTATTTAAAACTTTCATGCGTTATTTCTCCAATTTTTTCTTAACAAAAATCATCTTTGGCATAAGAATAAGCCTGCAAAATGTCAACTCAATGGATCATTTTCTTCCTGAAGAATTATAATAACTGAAAAAAAGGACTCTGGAAGCAATTGCTTTCTAAATTATGCATATTGCTCAAATTAAATTCTGCCTTTCCCTGAGACTAGTTAGTGGGTAACACACATACCGAAATAAAAGGGCCCTTACTCTAAATCATAAATACGCAGTTTTACTTTTAGTAAGCCCATAAAATAAATATCTTGAAGTGCTAAGAAGCTTTTCATCTGAAATAGGCAGGAACACAGCAGGAAAACCCTTTATTGATCTGAAATGTAACAGGAATTAATTCAGAAGGCAGAGAAGACAAAGGATACTTCAGTGACTCAGAGCACACTTCCACTCCAGACTGCCATTTGTTAAAGAACACAGCACACTGATAAGATGCTTATTTTCCCTCTGATTTTGTTCTCCTGCTCATTTTGTCTTCATTTTCTGTATAAACACAATCTATGACTATATATCTCAAATGAATGATCAATGCCATCAAATGTTTTTACATCGTAGACATAGTCAGCACAAAACTATGAAATGTATATTCTGAAGTAGTTATAATATAATTTTTCCCTTCTACAGTTTTGGTAGTATTTTATAGGAACTTGGAAACAAAACCATCTTTATAAATTTGTATGGTTCTTCATTTTGATACCTTTTACAGAAAAAAAATGACCTATAAACAGACCCACTGCAAATCTTCTAGAAACGCATGTGGCTGCTCTGTACAGTTACTTTTGACAGTGGAAACATTTGATCCTTTTTATTAACAAGTGGTTTTGGTTTTTCCTCCTTGAAAGAATCAAGTATCCACCATCAAGGTTTCTGAAAGAGGTGACAGAAGCAGTGGGTCATAGTCACAGTCTGCTGTTTTGTGCTCTGCCGCAGTTCTTTATCCGTAAAATGAAGACCTTTTGCACCTCAGAATGAAGATATGATAAAGAATCTTAAGTGCCAAGACACAGTGAAAGAAATAAGCATAAATACACTTATAAGAACTTTGGATCATTTTCAGGCATTTTCCCTTTTATTATTTCAAAAAGATAACACAACAGATCTTCAAGGAGCCATCAAACCATTTTCTATCAGCTCATCAAAATCCTCGTGTTCCCTTTCCTTAGTCCCCTTTTAGACCTTCCAGACAGTATCTGCCTAGGCTTACCGTGACCACAGAGATGGCAGCTCTTCTTGTAAATCAGTATTAAACTCTTCAAACACTTTCTGTGCTTTCTGAAACTCTTCTTCTGCCTAAAACAAAATGAAATAGGGTGACTTCTACAATCACTAGGACATAGCAAAACCTGCCAAAGTTGCTTTTGTGGGTTTTTCTGTGGGTCTTTTAAAATTTTTATTAACAAAGGATGTGACTCAGTCCCACATCACACAGGCCAACACAGGTTTTGCTGTTCCCTAAGTGTCATCAAGAGAGAAAGTCAGGGCGCAAATGGGACTCACTCCTGAAAGAGGCTGAGCACACCCTCTCCACCCACCAAAATACTCAATATACATTTATGCTTAAGGATTATAGATTCATAGAATGGTCTGGGTTGGAAGGGACCTTAAAGATCACCCAGTTCCAACCCCCCTGTCATAAGCAGGGACACCTTCCACTAGACCAGGTTGCTCAACGTCTCATCCAACCTGGCCTTGAACACTTCCAGGGAAGGAGCGTTCCATTTCTGAGAGAGGAAAAAGAAGAGAAACTTTGCACTCAGTCTTTGCACAAAAACAATTGTCACCCAAGGTCCTGAAGTCTTCTGCCAGCATCCTTCCAAGTATGCTACCTTGGTAATTCTGCCTTCATCTTTTCTTTTTGAGCTCTGCAGGGCTTCTAGATGATGCCTTGCACTGTCGTAGTCCACCAGCTTCCTGCTTCGTTTTGCAATGCGAGTCTGTACAGGGGTAGAAATGAAAGTCAGCACAAATAGCACTTTTTTACAAGTTATTCTACCTATGTTGTCATTTAAGTTTTGGACATATTTTTATTCTCCCTTATCTGCTGTTCATATCTGAATTACTGTACCATGCAGGAACACTGATATCGTAAAAGAGACAAACTGATTACTTTTTTAAAATAAAGAATCCATTTACAAACGGTCTGGAATGGGTTTTTTTGTGGGTGTAGGGCTTAGAAGTGAGATATCAATGTTATGCACGACTTGTTTCATTCTCCTGAACAAGTGAACCTGTTAAACTCACGGTAACACTATCTTTTTCCCTTATATATAGTGTGCAAATTTAATTAATAATTAATGTAATTTTTTTCTACAGTTGGAAAAATGCTTAAAATATACTTCATGGTATAGATCCTCTGACACATAACTAAGACAACTGGAGTTCAACATACAATAGAAATTCTAATTTACTTGCTATAATTCTTCTAAAACTAAGGGAAAGTCCTTTGATACATTCTGACTTTACAAAGCTATCTATCATATGTAAATTCTTCATGCTGAGAGGGCATAAGCACAGTTTGATTTACAAGAAGGTCTGAGACTGAATGCCAGTCACGTTGGGATTTCTTTAGTGTTTTTAGTTTAGTCCCTGATGTAAATGACAAAGGGGATGACTGTGTGATACCTACTCAATTACAAACCATCACAAAGAATTTCCAGCTGTGTCCATACAGTCGCATTCAAATATAAAAGCATCTACCTCTCACCTGTAATGATTCTTTGTCCACACATTTCATTTAGCAAACATCTCCCTGGACTGTACACCAGACAGCCATCTGGCAGAGGCTAGAATCTGCGTAACAGTCTCTCCTTATGTGTATTACAAAATCTTTTTATAACTAATTAAAAGACAGGAACCATGATTTAGTTAAGAAAAAGGTATTTAGATACCCACAGGTGCATCTAGCCAATAACAAAAGGTCTGCTTTTCGTGTTGTAATTTGTCTGGCATTTTAACAGCTGAAGAGCTTAATATGTCCCTGCTGAAGTCGGTGAGAATTGTCTTATACCGAATAAACAGAAGCAGGAAAAAACCTAAAAGTTTTATCTACAAAGGCTAAATTAATTCCAAGTATTACTGCATGAAAAATATTTTTGCTCACTTGCAAAAATCAGTGCAGCCTCATGTCAGGCATTTACTTACAGAACAACATCTTTCACATTGCAGAACAGAATGACTTCCACCTCCCTCCCTTTTTTAATTTTTCTTTGCTCATAATCTCATTTTCTACTTATTTAATGACTCGACAGTAATATTACAAATTGTCCTTTATGGGAAATCATTACTGTACTTTGATATCAGGAAATTGTCCTAGATATGTATCCAAGGTCAACAACGACCCATCCACCAGTTTTTGATGGAAATCTTCCCAAAGTTCATCACATTTCTGTAAAGGTAGAAAAGAGAAAAATGCACTTAGTAGTTTAATTACACTCCAAACCCAGGAGAAATACAAATGCAATTGGTAGAGATTAACCTTTCTGAAGATTTAAAGTGTTCTTTACGGAAATAAACCAGAATGCCCTTATGAGGTAAATGAAAAGGAATACCTTAACATTGCAAGTTTTAATTCACAACAAAAGAAGGTTTAGTTTAATAACTAGTTTGTGTTTTCACTCTTTCAAATAGCAACTGCTATAAGAAAATAAAGATAGCACAGATCCAAGTTCCTCCTCAGGGTTTCAGGTCCCTGAGGGCCAACAATACAGAATCTGAAGCTGCCCTAGTTCTTATGCCTAAGTACGTTCACTGATGATGAACCTTCCTTACAAAGAAAGAAGCACAACTAAAAATAGAAGAGTAGAAAAAGTAAAGCAAAACAAAATAAAGTGTGTTTCTCATAGATTCATAGAATGGTTTGGGTTGGAAGGGACCTTAAAGATCATCTAGGTCCAGCCCCCCTGCCAGCAGCAGGGACACCTTCCACTAGATCACGTTGCTCAAAGCCTCATCCAACCTGGCCTTGAACATTTCCAGGGAGGAGCAGCCACAGCTTCTCTGGGCAACCTGGGCCAATGTCTCACCACCCTCACAGTGAAGAACTTCTTCCTAATACCTAATCTAAACCTCCCCTCTTTCAGCTTAAACCCATTTCCCCTTGTTCTGTCACTAACTGCCCTTATGAAAAGTCCTTCCCCAGCTTTCTTGTAGCCCCTTCAGGTACTGGAAGGCCGCTATAAGGTCTCCCCGGAGCCTTCTCTTCTCCAGGCTGAATAGCTCCAACTCTCTCAGCCTGTCCTCATAGGAGAGGTGCTCCAGCCCTCGGATCATCCTGGTGGCCTGCTCTGGTCTTGTTCTAGCTGCTCCAGGTCTCTCTTGTGATGGGGGCTCCAGAACTGGACGCAGTATTCCAGGTGGAGCCTTCATTGACAAGGATTTGTAAGTTTAGTTTTGCTGGGTCATTTTAAAAATAAAACCTTCAGAGACCCACCCTAAGAAAGGTCTTTCCATCCCCCACTTTTTGTGCCATTAAGGCACATTTGATGAAATGGCTGATGGACAGACAAGAATTCTACCTTGCACTGCTAGAGAACTAGATGCCAGATATGAAACACGACAGATATGAATCACAGAATCACAGAACATTAGGGATTGGAAGGGACCTCAAAAGATCATCCAGTCCAACCCCCCTGCCAAAGCAGGAACCTAAACAATTTCACACAGGAAGGCGTCCAGGCGGGTCTTGAATGTCTCCAGAGAAGGAGACTCCACAACCTCCCTGGGCAGCGTAACATGAAACATGACAGATATGAAACATGCCAACAACAGCAGGCAAAATAAACAAAATCCCCCTCAGAAGCAGCAGTGTTTTTCCCCAGTTGCCTTTGCAGCTTTGGGGTGGCCACCAAGAGACATTCCTTGTAGTTTTCTGGTTTTTAAGAATATGTAAATGCAGCTGATGCGACAAGGATCCCGTGGGGAACAGGGTGAGATTCCTTGCCAGAAGCAAATCCTGCTGTATAGAGATACAGTGCTCGAGGTCCCAGGCTCTCAATTAAACAAGTCATTAGCATGTGTTAAACATCCTGATCCTCCTTTTCTTTGCACATTTCAAAAAAATCACAGAATTTCCCCCTTTGATGAGAGGGAGGCTAAAGGGGGTGAGCACTGCTTTGCAGGGCTGTTACCCTCACCGGCAAGTCCGGAAAGCTATTCCCTAGTGTTTATTTTATCAAGAGCCACTATAGGGTATATTATAAATGCTGTGTGATGCCAGTATTTAGTTCATTCATTTCTTCCCCTAACAGAGCCTCTAATGAATTATTACAATCTATTAATCATGCTTAAAAGAAATACCTAATTTATTAACAAAATATTTAGTCACAGGGGTCTACAGAGCAGCACAGCATTAGATCATCGCAAACAACTGTCAGCCCTGTGCATTTGCCTTTTGTACCTTGTTGGTGTATATTTTGGACAAATGAAAATCATGGAGGTTTTCTGAAAGCTAATAGACTCAAAAGACATTGCTGAAGAGTCCTTTAAGCCATCATCTTTCCTACCCTACAGAATAAGGTCATTTAGGTGGATCCCTTTTGGAATGATCATTTATATCCTGGACTACACAAATATATCTGCAGGTTGAGGGATGTATAAATCTACATTTGTGATTATATAGGGAAAAAATAAGGAGCAAAAATTCTGTAATATTGTCCATGAGTCCCTTATTAAAAAGACACATCTAACATTTACACATATAGCTAATAGATTAAGAGCCAAATTTTGGTCCTTTCATACACAATTACAAATTCTTAAGTGTAAAATCTAATAGTCTATAGATGCAAGATGAGGAGCAGGAGATCTTCCAGCTGTTTAACCCAAAACAATATAAATGGTATATTATCTTAACTTACACAGTTTGGAAATTGGTTGCTCTTAAAATCAAAAATACATCATGCCTTCAGCAGCAGGGAAGTGTAGAGGAAGCCACAGAGAAGGAAAGCAATCATTACACCGATTTGGGAAGATTGCTCTGTCTTTGAGTTTCTTGTTAATTATATTATCCAGGAGTCCTTGAGCACTGGATGTCAGGTGGTTAAAAAGCTGCACTGGTAACAGTTCACACTTTCTTGTCACCACCAGCACGCTTGCTGACAGACTTCTCCTAGAATTAAGGCTGTTTACTCTAAAGCAGGCAATTCAGAACACCTCGAGTTAGGCTCCTGCATCGTCCTCCAGAAAAGCCTATTTTTCTCTGATCACCAAAGGAACCTCAGAAAAGCTAAAATTAATAGTGCCCTGCAGCCTATTTTGGCCTTAAATTCCATATTCTTGTCAGAAAAAGGTGAGTGTCCCATCAAGTATCCTGTTCAGCACCACTGGTTCAAGAGTTGTTATCCAGCACACAAGGATAAGAAGAATTTTCAACATTGAGTTGAACTGAGAATCCTGACTGTGAAACCGCAGGTAAGGTACCTTGTACAACCTTGTCAATCAGGTGCTGTCAGGACCGATTCTGCTCACATTGATGATGATTTCAGTGGGAGCTTACATCGGTTTGATCGTAAAATAGACATTGCAAATGCGGCACCTGGTCAGCAGGAGGTGCATTTCACAAGGCCAAAAATTCCTGTGCTCAGAACAGGATTTAACATGCAAGGAACAATTAAGAGAAACTTTAGATGGACACTTCTCAATAGCTCAGATAATCCATTCACAACCAAAATATCTTCTTCTCTTTCCACACATCTTACCTCTCCAATCATTTTCACATCTTCTCGTCCATACCAGTCTGGCTCATATACTTCGTGAAGAGACTCTGTAAGCTTCTTTGAGGCATCTTGCATCCCTGTAAACAGACAGAAGGAGGAACATGTAACTGCAAACTACAAGAATAGCTTGCTAAATATCTTTATTTTGACCTACATATACCCACTACTCTATTATTCCCTCTGGCATGTTTAGAACATCCTTTTCCAGAGCTGTAACAAAACTTTTATGTTCAGCCAGCTCCCTCAAGAAGGTAAGAAGAAATCTCCCTTGCAGAAGGACTAATCCATATTTTTATGCAGGGATAAAGTTTCTATGAGATTAGGGATTCCACTTTCTATTCTGAAGTAAACATATCTGAACACGTATAACAACTCAGAGGGTAGTCCTGCCCACTGAAGACATTTCATATCCAACTGAAAGAGAAGGCAATCAAATAGAAACCTGCCTCTGTTTCAACTCTCCCACCCTACAGAATAGTTTCCTACCTTGTCCACAATGAGTACCATTCCCACCTGGGTGGAGGAGGAGGTGTCTCCAGGGCAGCAAGGTTAAAATGTCAGAGATTTATGGGAATTGATGACTATAAAAATGGACTTAGGAGAAAATCTAGAAGGGGTCTGCACTAACCAAAAGTGGTCCCCAGAATGAAATGGGGATTTCTCAGTTTCCTTGTTTTCAAAGATATTTAAGTCTCAGGAGCTTTCACATGTAAAGTGAGTGGTTAAGGAAAAAACAGCTTGTTATTCTTGTGTCCCCAGTAATGCTGGTGATCTAAAAGTATGCATATAACGAAACAAAGGACTGGCAAGAGCTGAGGCACTGTCCACAAGCCCAGGGAAAAGAGATGCCTGGACCTGGGGAGACTGCTGTATCAGACCTGATGTTATGAAGGAAGATTATCTTGTATGCTCACCCAGTAGGTTTAGAATACGTGGAGCCCAGTGCTTATCTACACTTGCAGCAGAGCGTTGTCTACAGAGAAATGTGCTGAGCCAAACTGCATCAGTCACCTTTGGAGCTCTTGCTGCCACAGGTGAAACAAGAAGGGGGACTATTGATGGTTATCACTCTGTAATGCACAGAGGAGCTAGATTATATATAAAGTAGTTTCAATGATATTATGTGAAAGAACCTAAATCTGTCTCTAGTGAGATCACTTTGACCCCAGTGAATAAATCACTGTCCTCAGTGAAGGCATTGGGGTTTGCCTTTCCATTTTGATGGAGCACCAATAGATTAGATGTTGAACACGATTCTGAACCCAGTGCCAACAAACTGATCTCACCTAACATGCCAAGGCTCAGTTCAGAATCAGTAATTTTAAAATGACAACTTTATTTCAACTTCTTTGCAAAATATAAACAAGACTGCTAATATTTTTTTAATCTAGCATTAACTTTTTTAAAAAAAACAACACATTTTTTCTCCAGCCAAAATCTGCTGCAGCATAGCTGTGCTGTCTTGCACATATCTCTAGTGTGATCTTCAGATCTAACTACTCAGTGGCTGAATTTAGGAATAACATGGGTATTTCTGTTTTCTGCACAAAGAAATGTCCAGGAATGGAAGAGGAGAATTCATTTGAAACTCGAATGCCTAGAAGAGCAGACTTGACCTAGTTAGGAGCTATTCCACCATGTGCTCCAAAACACACACTCAAGATACGAGAGGAAAATTACAACAGGAAAATAAATGCAGTAATGCACACTTCCTAATATAAAAATGCTAGTCTATGGAATGGGTAGGATAGGAAAAAAGTTACTGAAAAAGATGAAAGTAGATGGTTGTTCTCAGACCTTGGGTTCAAGGGAGAGAATGGTGTGGGAAAGGGGGAGAACAAGTATAAAGGAAACCCTGGTGCCCAGATGGTACAAGCTTTCACCCTTAAATCCAAAGGTGCTGAGACAAAAGAGAATAATTTCTTCACTGTGAGGGTGGTGAGACACTGGAACAGGTTGCCCAGAGAAGCTGTGGCTGCTCCTCCCTGGAAGTGTTGAAGGCCAGGCTGGACGAGGCTTGGATCAACCTGGTCTAGTGGAAGGTGTCCCTGCTGATGGCAGGGGGGCTGGAACTGGATGAGCTTTAAGGCCCCTTCCAATCCTAACCATTCTATGATTCTATGATTCTAATTGACCTCTTCGGGGATTGTCCTGGGGGGTGCTTTTTAATGACAGAATTCAGCTCAGAGAATTGATGTAGTACAAAAACTTAAGATGCATTTCTTCCTTTTCCCCTTCATGGTTAATGCTTAGGATGATGTATCACCAGCTAAGAAAGGATTCATAGAATCATAGAATGGTTTGGGTTGGAAGAGACCTTAAAGCTCATCCAGTTCCAACCCCCCTGCCATCAGCAGGGACACCTTCCACTAGACCAGGTTGCTCAAAGCCACACCCAAGGCTGAATGAAGTGACTTTTTTTCCCAAGAATATGCCAGATTACAGTAAAATACAGATAATCTTCACATATTTTTCCACGTAGGACTCACTTCAAATCTGGAATGCCACTACAAATCAATCACCTCAGGAGGTAAAGGCAAAACCAGCACGGTATTACCATGATTAAGAAGGTTGCTTCCGTCCACTCAGGGTGAACGCACAGACCAGGAAGGTTAGTGCATCCCTGCTCACGCTTGATCCTTTCTGATACCTGAACTTCTGCCCTTAAGCACGCTGCGTGCTAAACCTGCCACGTACGTTCCTGCAGCAGGCAGGCCAACACAGCTGCTCGCTAATCCTTCCTGCAGCTTGGTCACAGACCGGGCTCTGGTAGAGCACCTTCTCCTACGCAGACTTTCTTTTTTAAGTACCACAGGACTTGGGCATATATCTGCTTAAGAGAATCAGTAAAAGACATTTAGTATCCTACGCTTGAGTCACATCAAAGTTGCACCAACTTTTATACATTTTTCAGTTTTGAGAATCTGGTAATCTTCCATTCTACAACATTCCTGTGAAAAAAAAATCAATCAAATCCAGCTGCAGTGAGAGACAAGTGGGCATCACCACACTTGGCTTCCTCTGTCGGGGGATTCGCTCTGAAATTTCCACACACCAAGATCACCCATCCTACTTCCCTCCTACCGTATCTAGACGAGGTTTACTGCGATATCACAAATGAGTGCTTAGCTGAAGACCAACCTGGTGGCTTCCCATTCTTTTTCATGCCTGTGGGCATAAGCTTACTATGTCCACTGATTTTTGATTTGGCTGGTTTTCACACAGAATTATTTCTTATGTACTGATGCCTTTTATATATTATTCATCACTAAAGTTAAGAGGATTAGTGTCTGCCATAGTCTGCAGGCTGTCTCTCTGCTGTTTTTAACTGCTATCACTGAGAAAGATTAATTGTTTAAAGCAAGTCATTAAAGTACTAAGAAATGTGAAAAGAATTTTTACTGCCGATGAACAGTTAGAAATTTATATTTCATGTCAATTGTTTCATTTAGAACTGCTTCTTGTTAATTGGGTCACCTATTTAAAAACTACAAAGGCCAAAATAATTGAATTGCTTAGAAAAAATGATGCTAAATAATCCAGTTCCCAAAGTCTGAGGCTCTTGCATGAAGTCATCCCTCTTTCTATGAGAAAGCTCTTGTCCCTAGGACCCCAAACGACTTCTAGAGTCCCCCACATGGTAGACATTCTGGGGGTGCTGGTGCAGAGATGTTCCCATTAAGCACCTAAGAGATGGCAGAGGGTAGGTGACTCTTTGCCATCACAATTCCAATGTACTCAAGCTCCCAGGGAGATTGAGACTGGCCAGGGACTCCATGTTGGCCGTAGGACTCATATTCTGTGGGATTTCATCACTCCCCAGCAGGAGAATCAAGACTGAATCATGAAGAAAATTCCATTTTCTTGATGGAGTGAGGTGCCTTGGTCTAGCTGTTAATATTTACTTATTTAAGAGAGCTTCATGTGCAGTTCTCCGGGGAAACAACCTATCCCACCGTAAAAGTTGTATCTGTTATTGCTAGTTACCCATCATACTTTCCACTGTAACAATTCAATCATTTCATAATTCATTACTAAATTTTACAGAAAGGTGATGAATAGTTTTACTGCTTCTAAGAAATTACATGTTTAATTTGAAGATTTGTGTGTCTGGAGAATATGTGCAGTTCTGTCAGCCAGACTGACAACTCTGCAGCAAAACTGCTTACAGCCCTTCAAAATCTCCTCTTCTCTTCCTCTAGACTGGTTATTATTTCTATGTTAAGCCACCTGAAAAGTATGGTGATTCTTTTTTCATGATGCAGGCCTCCTTTCCACCTCTGCCACCTTGACACCTGCATGCAGATCCAGGTCTGTATCTCCCCATCTGCCCTGGTACTACTTGCAAAGAGCTCAGCTCTTTGAGCCCAGCTGAAAGAAACCCTGATGTAGGGTTTCTTTAACAACTGGCCCATAAAACCATTCCATGTCACCTACAGCTTTCAGATGCTTAAAAAAATAAATCATGAAGTAGAGAACCCAGATACACGTTGCCAAGGAGACTCGAAGAGACAGAAGACTGAGACATGAGATGACTAAAGCTATGGGGGATAGTACATAGTCTTGTCAGTACAAACACCACTGATACATAGCAGACTTTAAACTATAGTGCAGGTGAAATAAAACAGCACATAAAAGCCATTCACAAGTTCAACAGCTGTATGACATGGTTCCTCCAAGTCCTTGAGTAACCAGCAGTAAAGATGAAGGTCCAGCTAAGACTAAGCAGCACCTCTGAGCAGGAGGAGTCTGAGTACAGGAAAAATTATATTATTTCAAGAATGTGTGATACCAAACCTCAAACTGTCAAGTATATTAAAATAAAGGAATAGAGGGTCATAAGAAGCCTCAACTGACCATTCCTTGCTTCTATCGTGCCTAGATCTAGTACTTCCAACTTCCAATATCCAGCACTCAAAAGTCATGCAGCAAAATGAAACTTATTACTGGAGCTCACAACACACCAGCTTCATAAAATGCTTCCAGTTAAAGTTAGCCATCTTTCCAATTCCCGAAACCCTTTACAATGAACTGCTTCTCTCACACCTGTAAGAGTACAAGGATGTCAAGTGCATTATTTTCCAATGATACGATCAACCTATTTCCCTGCAAAATGAGCCCCTGATGACAGCATGCCTCCAAGGCTCAGATGTCCTAGGTGCAGAAATCCCACTCCAGTGACTAAATTCAGGGGTTCCCATGCTTTTGTGTACAGCCACCCCAAAATGTTTTAATGACAGCAGTCTTTCAGAGAATAGCCACAGAGAGACTGCAGCACTTGCTGGATCTGCTTCTGCCATTCAAAATCTGGAAGGGCCTTCACATTGCTGAGCTATTCAGCTTTGGGGAAGCCCCAGCCAGAGTTGTGTTTTTGGACTCCTGTCTCGAGCCATCCTCCCACTCCACAGCATGAAGGTGTGCCAACATGTGTGCCAATCTGGTGGCAAGCCCACTGGTGGCTTGTTGGCTTTGGAAAATAACATTTTTAAGGCTTCTGCCAGCTGCTTATGACAGAGTCTTTTTTAAGACATGAAGATACTGAGGTGTTAGCAAACACTTTTCATTCTTGGTAAGAAAGTCAGTCCAAATTATTTTCAAATATGAACTTACAGGTTGCAACAAGAGAAAGATGCTGACCAGAAACATGTGGCTAAAAAGGCAAAAGTTGCACCATAAAATAATTTCACACCAAGTTAAAACCAAAACTCGGTACAAAGAGCAGCCCACTGGATAGTAAACCAGCAAAAGGACCACAAATCCACAAAGTACTGGGAAAAGAAGAGAGAGAAAGAGAGAGAAAGAAAATGAAACATGGAGAGGAGGATTGTTGTCACCAACACGGAAATCAAAGCAGCATGTAAACAGTCAGCCTACATGACAGAAAAGCCATCTGGCAAACAAACAGTCTCATCACGCTGCTTCTGAGTATCCATCTGACAATGGGTGTGAGGAAGGGATGTCTGAAAAATAAGAAGGTAAAATCAGCATCCAGTGGGTCTCAAAAAAAAAATTTAAATAAGACTGATGCTGAAATTTCCTCTAAGAACAAAAGACATTGTGCCAATCCCTGTAAGGCAAAATATCTTTGGTACAGGATTTTCCTTGCCCAGCCTATTCAGCAAATAATAGAAAGTCAAAGACAGTCAGCTCCTGCTTTGCTCCCCGGTTTACAATTCCCATCAAAAAGAGCTTTATTCCCTGCCTGCCAACAGCTGCTGAAGCTTTATTATGACACGGTAATTTCTAGGGATGTTAATACTGGTTTGTAACATTTTCCCTACTGGACTGGAGCCAGCTTAAAAACATGGAACAGGTTGCCCAAGGAGGTTGTGGATGCCCCCTCCCTGGAAGTGTTGAAGGCCAGGCTGGACGAGGCTTTGAGCAACCTGGTCTAGTGGAAGGTGTCCCTGCTGATGGCAGGGGGGTTAGAACTGGATGAGCTTTAAGGTCCCTTCCAACCCAAACCATTCTATGTTTCTATGATACATAATTATCATATCTATCTATCTATCTATCTATCTATCTATCTATTTATCTCAAGAAGCCATTACTTTCTCTCTGTCAGTCACCAATTCTTATTCCCTTCCTTTAGCACCCAGGCTCCAACTCCTCCAAAGAGAGGTGGCATGAGAAAGAGAACACTCTGTGTACAGTGAGAAGTTGAGTGTGTTGGATTTACAAATGTCCAGTAGGATTTAAATAGCTGTTTATTTACCCTCTGATATTTAAGCACTGACCAGTGAGCTTCTGCCACTTGGATTTTCGATGTGGTATCAACAGAGATCACATTTGATTTTTAAACTTAAAAAAAAAATATGGATTAAGCAGTCAGAAATACATGAGAAATCACAGCGAGCGTCCTTTCGGAGGGAGGAGATTATCATCCAGCTAGGAATACCTGGAAATGTTACAGTTGTGGAGATGAAGCAACCCCTTGCCTTGCATGGGGTATTTCATGTTCCAGTATTTGCAAAGATGAGTAACAAGAAGCGTAGATTTTGTGAGTGCAGTGTGAGAATCTGGGCAGCGGTCCTGCACACAAAGGACAGCCAAGGATGAGCTGTGCACACGGGACTCTACACGCAGGAGTTGACATCGAAGGTGCAGAATCCTTAGCAACAGGCTAAAAAGCCTGTGCAGGATCCAAAGCAGAAATGTGGACTATTAATGACAAAAGCAGTATTATTTGCATTTGTCTTTGTATATCTTAAACAAGTCTACTTATCCCAATTTTTAACAAAAGTTTGCTATATGAAAATATGATGTAAAACTTAAAAATCACCTTTGATGGCTGCTAAATATCCTCTCAGTTCTCTCTGGAGCCTCGAACCCTCTGCCTGGAAAAGAAAAAAAAAAAAGAAAGGAAGTGAAAATACATTTCAGTATGTTATCGAAAACACATTTCAATTATATTTTATGCCTTAAAACATGCATACAGCATGTCAACAAAAAGCAATTTCAGAAGTTATCTGATGAATAGCGTCGCAGGTTCCAAGCATGCACAGGTTCATACAGAAAAGATGGCCTGGCCAAGATGCTATGCCTGGTGTACTCTATAGGTTACAATTTCTGGTTTTATTTTATCAGTCATCTACACAAGGAGGAATTTCAGCCAAAGCTAGACAGCTACATTTTACAGCCAAGGTCCAGTTCAAGTCAGCCTGGGCAATGTCCTAACCTGAAACACAAAGAAGTAATCAAGAACTGTGCGCCTCCTCTTGAAACCACTCAAATGAGGCCAGTCTACACTTGCAGAACATCCATGCCCTCGCATAAATGTCTTACTACTTTTACAAACAGTTTCCCAAGAATTCTAACATTTTAACATTTTGCAAGCCAATAGCTACTAAACAGCATTAGTTATTTTGTTTAGTTTGGCCAGTGTATCTTGCAGTCTGTTGTGAAATCTCAACTGTTTCTTTGGCAAATACATCAAAATGATCTTTCTTTTTCTTATACCAACAGCCTTGGAAAAACTCAGACTAGATAAAACAAAATAGGCTGCTTTATTTCTGACTGTATCACAAGTTGGACTTCACAGCTTCTAGGATTTGCAATAAAATCTGTGCTACACTATAGCACATACTTTATTGTTAAAAATCTTCAGTAGCCTGAAGATTCTGGAAACACTCCATGTTTATCGGTTCCCAATATCCTTCAAATTATTTATTTAAGCAGTTGGAAACTAGAGGAATATCAGCTTGCAGTCACATTTTCTCACGTACAGCTACACCATATGGAAAAATCAGCTGCAAAATATGACTGGCTGCTTTAGAGTTTTTCTCCTATTTTTCGTGTGAAAGTTAGACCCCAAAAGGGTGCATGTGTGAATACTTTAGAAGGCAGAGTCTCAACTGGTACAAGGGGCTATAACTCCACTTAAGTCAAAGGACTTTTGATGTCAGTAAAGGATTTGCCATCAGTGACAGTGATGCTCAGAGCATTCAGACACAGAGGATCATAAGAAATTCAGGTTGAAAGGGATCGTCTGGATCTTAGAATCCATCTACCTGCAGTCAAGTCAAATCCAAATGGTGGTTCTCAAAAAATACTCACTTTCCAAACCAGTACCTCTGCCAAAGTCACTTGCCTCTCCCAGCTCCACTGCAGGGAACTGAAGGCCTTCAGAACTGGATCAAAAGCTCTCAAATGTCAATGCACTGTAAGATGAGAACAAGTGTTGGAAGGTCCTGGAAATACTAAAGAATTTAAAAGGTAAAAATTCCTGAGTGGGTTTAGAAAGCAGATTGGATTCACTTTATGGATTCAACAAACAGAAGATTGCTTTTACACTAATTTGATCTGAAGTAAAACTCCTTTTTGAACCTAAATCCATTAATCAACTAAATTCTAAGCACAGGAATAGACTCACCAGGGTGATACCTTAGAAGCTGCTGAGTAACAGCAAGAGCACAGCAGCACCCAGACCACCAATCTGTCCCTGGTTTGGGATCATATTTGATGCTCCAAGGAAAGGCAAACCCTTCCCTTGCTTTGGGATCAAAGCTGTATATCAAAGCAGGGGCCAGACAGGCACAGGTTGAGTAATCAGCAGACTAAACCTCAGGCTTAATTACTTACAAACAATAGAAAGTTCTAAAAGTAGTGGTAGCTTGATATTGTGTGCCTTCAGAAAACAGATACATGTCCATCTTCATACTCTTTGGTAAAAAGTACCACCCTAACACATCACAGCAACACATTTTATCGTCCTACATAACAGCAGCATCCTAATGCATTTCGGAAATTGACTTTTTTCTACTTCTTTCTGTGCTAGAATGGGAGGTAGAGAGATGACAGAAGTTGTTGGCTTTCCACAGAGCAAGGCATTAAGTGAACCACACTGCCCCAGAGGAAAGGAGATTGAACCCAGGGGCAGAATTCTTCTGAAGAGGAGTATCTGTAAACATGTGGCAGAACGAGGAGGGAAGTTCCTGTTTTATGCATGCCAGTCTCCTCCTGGGAGGAGGATCCCTCATACTCTGAGAAGTCACATGAAGGTATAGAAATTATCTCTCCAATTCATATCTTCTTTGGCCTGAGCACTAGTACAGCCTCTTAGCTTGTGGTGAAAATGGGAAGTAGATACTCACAGCAGCTTGATTCTTCATTATGGTCCAGCTGAACAGGTGTCCATACCATAACCATTTTTAGTTATGAAAGAATTTCTGATGTTTCAGAAGCAGCAAACCCCAGCTGGAAGGCTTAGAACCCCATTAACCATCCTCATGTCCAGTAAAAGGTCTATATTTACTCATACACGTACCATTTTGCCACTGACTAGCACACCACGAATGGCAGGTCAGGGACACACATTGCTCAAACACTATGACTGTGCTGTTGTGTAGTTTCACAACTGGTACCCTAAACCACTATGAGATCTATTGTGGCTGGTTAATGTCTTGAATCATCAGCAACTGCTGCTGAGGAAAACATAGAAGAAAAAGTCAAAGCAGTAAATCATGATGCAAATATTTGGCTGTTATGAATTCTGACAATTCATTCAAAAGAATAATTTTAGCAGGAATACCTCTCAGTCTAGGTTCTTAACAGGTCAAAAGCTACTGAAATATCCAAGAGCCACACAAACTTTCCTTCCTTAGCAAACGCTGTATGACATGTGACATTAAAGCACCCACGGACAAGGGCCAGCTCCCATTGAATTTGAGAGAAAATCTCTCAGTTTCAATGGTAACAGAATTAGACCTTTCTATAAAATACCAGAAATCAAAATTTGCATCAGAAATCCTCAGCCCCGTGAATTCTGCAAAACATGCCTCTGGTCTACACATTTTGCTACAGTAAACTCATTATTAGTGAAGGTAGATACACTTTTTTCACTTAACAGACAAATTAATATTCACAGGATGAAAATACTGCATTGCTGGCTCCACACACCTTGCAAACCATGGCGTAGTGGTTTTAAAAAGCGCTGTTTTAAAGATTGCCACGTATTTAATATACCCTAACTTCTTGTCCTTTCTGGTCTATCAGATGAAAGCATCTGGTGGCTCTGAAACTACTGCTCCAAGTATCTCTATTAAGGCCATCAATTTTGTTAATTGAGATGCAGCTTCTTGAAGGGGAATGAAAAGTAGGTGTCATTTTGCAGATGTTATGCTCCTCTGAAATGAAATTTCCCAAGAGAGCACTGATGCTTCCTTTATCATTTCATAATTTCTTTTATTTGTTCTACATGAGGCAGCAAAATGAGTCAGAGTTTCATAAGATGCAAAAAAAAAAAAAAAAAAAAACCCAAACAAAAAAACCCCAAACCATCCAGAGAGAAATCTCAACAGCACACTTAATAGCCAACTTCTCACAATCAGGTTGTTTGATAACAACAAGCATGTTCTCACTGGACTCCAGCACCAGAAATCTGTGCTTTTAGCTCACCTGTTCAAACTCACCATAAAAATTACCAGAAATCTGTCAGGTGATCCTGTTAAACTGCACATAAGAGCAAGGTGGGCATGTTGACCACCCAAAACAACATCCCTCACTAGGAAAATGGACACAGGTCTCCACAGTGATGTCCCAAACAACAACTGCATACTCTCAACACTAGACCACATGGTCAGTGCCATGGTCAGCTCCTCTTTTCTACTCTCTGGTCTTATTCCAGGGTCAGTATTACGTAGTAAAGGCACGTGCACCCCGTGAGATAAGGAGGCTCAGTGTTTCAGGATCTTGTCATCTACAGGCAGAGGTCTTTGCACACCTTTACAGCAGCATTAAGTGTTTTCAGTACTACAGAAACTTGTGTATCTTTAGCTTTGGTTTTCTTTTCAAAGAATGGTATTCAAGCATATCTTAGCACTGGAATTAAGAAAAAGAGAGCCACAACACTGTTAGTGATAAGACTGATGAGACCTACAAAATCTTAATGACTAAAACCATAAAAAAACCCAGGGTTTGTGTCTTACCAGCTTTTGCTTCCTGATGCTTTAGAAAAATCATTGCTTCCACTCAGAAATTAAAGGCCACCTTGCCTCCACAAGAGCTGGAATTGGATGACCTATTTGCCAGGCATCATTTATTCACAGCTTTCCAGGCAAAACAGAAGACTTTGATTTTTCTATCACGTCACACCCAGGATGTAAACACAATACATCTTTACAGGAAAGGTCAGCACAGCATGTGCTTGATAACAAAAACAAATAAATCACTCCACTTTAGTGAGAGTCAAGAGCAATGTCAATGCTGAACCTGAAGCATTAACCTTAACCATAATTAATAACCTGCCCCATAGAAATGCAAACCAGATAATTATTAATGCAGCTTTAAGTCTAATACGGGAATTTTGTCATTCCAATGCTAAGATATCAGGGAAATAGCTCAAAAGAAAGTATTTTCTACATCACCTGGAATACATTCTTTATTGTAATGTGCAGTTATTAGCTGCACTGTCTCTCTGTTCACAAATACCTTAGGTGGTATTTACTGGTAGAACTCAGAGGTAGGAATGCAAAGGACTAGTGCATCAAGTGAAGCGCAACAAAATAAGAGGCTATTGGGACAAATTCATAATTCAGTATGAAATATATCTGCATACCAGAGTACCCTATTTTACCATCCTCAGTCTCCTTACAGTTCCTCAAACTGTCTCCCAAATTTTGGAGACCAATTCTTAAAGAAATACATTTCTTCTTTTCTCTTTCTACAAGCTGTAAGAGACTTGGGTATTGAATTATTTGTCTAGTGAATCACTTGAAAATAGTTGGGTTCGCAACCTTCTCTGGAAGCACAGAGGTTTTTGGCATCCTCAGACAATTTGAACTAGTCCAATAAGTATGAACTCTAAAGGTAAGACCCAGCCAGCTCTGCCCCGTGTTAG